AATCGTTACATCATTACGTTATTCAACAGCTTTAGGAATGTGACCATACCAGTTCTGTGTCACTTCGATTCCTAAATATTTGCATATGTTATAGCGCAAATATGCACATACTTCATTGTGTCGGTCGATATATTCCTCTTTGGCTAATACCGGGCAACCGATCATTAAGTGATGTATAGTCACATCGTATTGCTTACACAGCCGACATGTTGCTACATTTTCTCCATGTGTCCGCTGTTTTACGTAGTTTGTGGTGATTCTCTGATCTTAGGCAGCTACTAGTAAGGATTCTGGTTCCCCTTTAAATGAACAATTTTTCAACCACCTATACAGGGTGGCGCATCGAAAACGAAACAGACGCATTTACTGGCAGCTCAGTTTTTTTTTGAAAAACGCTCAGACCCGTCGATTTTGTTTTCGAGGGGGACACAAGTTTAGCAAAAAATCACGTTAGCACGTGCAGCCCCCTAAGCGGGGCTGTCACCACCCCCAAAGTCTTAAATGGAAAGGGGGGTCGAATGATACCTTATTTTAAAGGTCTTTCAATTCCCTTTATAATAATATAAAATTAATGTACTTCAGTTCAGTACTTTTAAAGATTTATTGATTTAAAGCTTAAATAAAACTAATACATCATTATTAGTGGAGATCAATACATTTGGCAGCAAAGTAATTTAAAAATGAAGAATGAACTGACCCGTTACGCAAGTAAATGTTAAAAATGGCCACCATGGCTCTCCATGCAATAATAAAGATTTTGCTCAAAACGTTGCCGCACATTTTGCAATGTTTGAGGAGTAATTTGAAGGCACTCATTCACAATTCTTTGTCGCAGGTCTTCTAATGATGTTGGGTGAGTAGCATAGATTTTGCTTCTTAAATGGCGATCTTGGGGGCCATTCAATGGCACCTCTTCTACCATATTGTCGTGTGGTGGGGCACCATCCTGTTGGAACATCAACCTATTCGCAATGTACCGCCGATCATTCTGATTTTCAATTATGGCTGTTAATGCAGGATCTATGGCGTCTTCCAGTAATTGCAAATACATTTCACGGGTCAAATTTCCAGGTAAGAAAAAAGGACCAACTAAATGATCGCCAAAACCTCATGATAAATTCTAGGATTAGAATCGGACCAATATCGGCAGTTATGACGATTTACTACGCCATTTAAGAAAAAGGAACATTCGTCGGAAAAGCAAGTGTTGAATAGAAAATGTTCATCGTTTATAGTTCGTTCACTCATATCTTCACATAATTGTAATCGCCGATCAAAATCGTCTTCATTAAGTTCTTGTACCAGGTAATTTTATACGGATGAAAACTATGGGCCTTTAGAATCCGTTGGACAGTACGTCGACTAACACCACACACAGTCTCCAATTTGCGGGTACTTAACGTAGGATCTACATAAACTTGCCCTAAAGCCCCCACTTCTATTGCTTCGTTCCTGATGGGATTTTCAATGTTGCCTTTTTGTATTGGCGACTGACCCAGTTTCCCGAAATTTAGCTACAAGTTCTAGAACATATTTTCGATGCACGTTACTGTTCTCATGTCGCTCATTAAATATTTCTGCTGTTCTATTAGCGCACTGATTATTTCCGAAAGATATTTCGATAGTTTCAACTATTTCTGCTGTGGAATATACCATGGTCAATTTATGTAATAAAGCGTTACAAGTTATTTTAGCAACAAAGTTTGGTCTAATCAATCGCAAACCATGTACTTAATTTTTATTTAAAATAAGTACGAGATATTTCCTTATCTTTCTTCAATAAATAACTTTTTTGCCACAAAAAAACGCTCCAATAGCTATTTTCAACAACACAATGGTAAACAAACCATGGGCGTGGTGAAGAAAAACATTTACTTATTAAGTAAATTCTTTTAGTCAAATTTCTTCTGAAAGTAGTACAAACTAATCTGATGTACCTATTAAAGTCTACTTTAAGCTTTAAAGCATAAATCTTCAACTACTGAACTGAAGCCCATGTATTTTACATCATTATAAAGGGAATTGAAAGGCCTTTAAAATAAGGTATCACTCGACCCCCCTTTCCATTTAAAATTTTAGGGTTGGTGTCACCCCCGCCCAGGTGGCTGCACGTGTTAACGTGATTTTTTGCCAAACTTGTGTCCCCCTCGAAAACATAATCGATCGAGCGTGTTTTCAAAAAAAAAAACTGAGCTGCCAGTAAATGCGTCTGTTTCGTTTTCGATGCGCCACCCTGTATGTACCATTTCTATCGATACCTTCTTCCATAGATTGCCTGCCAAACTGACCATGCATTACCTTTTCCAACCACCTATTTTCTCTCTGGTCTTCCATGTGTTTTTTGTTTCGCTTCAACATTTTTATTCTCTCTAGAACTGTGTCTTCAACTTGGGTCTGGCCTACTGTTACTTGCAATAAACTTTCAGCATTACGAATTAATGATCTTTTAGTTGCGAGTCCCTCCTCATATTCGTTTATGAGTTTCACCAATTTGTCATCTTTTTTCCACTTTAGACCTCTACCACCTCCTTTTCTAGGGACGTATAAGCGATCTATATCTGCCTTGTGGTGGTGCATGTTGTGAGTTGTTAATATCTTCCGCGTTTTGCTGTCAATTGCCTTTATTTCAGCGTCTTCCCAATCCAATATTCCGAATCTGTAAGCCAAAACAGGCTGTGCTAACGTTACTAGAGCGGTCAACTTATTTTCCCTGTGAGTGAGTCTTCAAGATCTTTCTTACTCTGGAATAGTATTCTCTGGTAACAATTTCTTTAATTTGTTTGTTCTCAATGCCACTATTTTCTTCTAATCCAAGGTATTTGTATGTCTTATCTGCTTCTAACTCTACTATCTCGGTGCCATCGCATAATCGCTCATTCTTTTTCACTCTACCTCTTTCTATTGAGATTTTGGCACATTTTTCTGTCCCAAAACGCAAGCTTATGTCCAGTTCACTATCATTCCTGGTGTATAAAAAAGGTGACATACAGGGTCCTTCTTCTTCGTGAGTCGATAGCCTTTTCCTGTACTGTTGAGTTCGTTGGTTAAAGGAAATAGTGCCATGGAGAACAGCAGCGGGGACAGTGAATCTCCTTGAAATATTCCCGACCAGACGTTAACGCTCCCTGTTGTTATTGCTCCATCACATGTATTCAGTGTTATTCGAGTTTTCAATTTTTTCATTGCAGCTTCTAAAAGACGGACAACCATGCCATTCACTTCAAGTGTTCTTAACAACCAAGAGTGCAGGACACTGTCAAAGGCTTTTCGGTAGTCTATCCAACCTATACTTAAGTTTTTATTCTTCTTTCTTACATCCTGTGTAACGATCTTATTCAACAAGAGGTGATCTTTGCAACCATAGCTACTCCTTGCACAACCCTTTTGCTCGTTCGGGAACAAGCTATTTTGTGTCATGTGCTCATAGATTTTATCACTAATGATGGTTGTCAAGTTTTTGTATAGGGTAGATAGACATGTTATTGGGCGGAAGTTCTTAACCTCGTGTGTTTTATTGTTTTTCGGAAGCTGGACGGTCGTTCCTTCCACCAGCCAGCTTGGGATAGATTCAGGATTATCAATTAAGTTATTATAAGCATTAGCGATGGCATCATGTGTGTAATCCAGCACCTTCAACCAATAGTTCTGCACAGCATCGGTCTTTTTGAATCTATTCTATGCCATTTTATTTATGTTACCTTTCCGGCGTTCTTCTCTCTCTAACCATTTTGCCTATCTACGAGGGCTGTTTGATAAGTCAGTGGCTTTTTCAATAAAAGAAATGTTTTTCGGCAAATAAGCATTTTATTTCTCAACATAATCTCCTTTTAGCTCGGTACATTTAGTCCAGCGTGTTTCCAATTTCTGAATTCCTTCCGAATATTAGTCTTTATCAAGGCTCCCAAAATATGCGTTTGTTTCAATGATGACCTCTTCATTCCACCAAAATTTCTTACCTCCCAGCCATTTTTTCAGGTTTGGAAATAGGAAGTAGCCGCTGGGGGCTAAATCTGGAGAATTGGCTGGATGGGGCAGCAGTTCGTCGCCCAGTTCATGAATTTCTGCCAGCGAGAGTACACACGTGTACCCGTGCGGTGTGTTGATGGAACAGCAATTTTTTTTCGCCAAATGCGGTCGTTTTTGCTTCAAAGCAAGTTGAATCTGTCTAACAGCTCTGAGTAGTACTCTCTTGTGATCATTCTGCCCTTCTAAAGGTAATCGATGTAAATGATATCTCATTGATCTTATCCACGATTTCTGATGTGATGACCTCTTTTGGGCGACCTGAACGTTCGGCATCACCTGTGCTGGTTCGACCACAACGGAACTCACTAAACCACTTCTTCACCATTGAAATAGATGGTGCAGAGTCCCCATAGTATTTGTCAAGCCTTTCCTTGGTTGCAGTGATGGTTTTTAATGTTCAATTAGAACACGAAATTCACTTTTCCCCATTTTTGTTAGAATTACGATCTTACTTAACAACATGTTTGTGACAATGGTAATTGTATTGCGACATCCAAATACAAATAGTGAAGGGACCATTCTATTTTTCACGTACATCAGTTACGCCCTTTTCTAGGGTTAACAAGGCAAAAAGACCATCCTAATTTAAAAAATAAAAACTGGCAATGGAAATTGATCGTCTGGCGGCTTGGCGTACCTACCTTCCGGAACGATAAGTACCAAATTGTGAGAACGTCGAGTAGCAAATGACCCCTTGGGAGGCTTTTCTAAAGGAGACCATGCACTGCACAAGCGTTCGAACAAACAAGGAGGACATCAATCATATTCGTGGATTATCTACACTTTCGTGCAGGAAAGGGCTTAGAAATTTCATCTGTGGTGTATGGATTGATTTTAGCCAAATTTTAGGCTGCAACGATCGGTATCATTTTGGCTTTTCGTTTCACTGGAATTACAATTGAATGAGAAATATAAAGACTTGAAAAAAGAATGAGTCAAGTCTAGTCAATAGGCTAGAAGTATTTCAATACTAGGGAGCAGAAACAAAAAAATAAAAATACTAACAAAAAGAAAATATATCAATCTGAAACGAGCGAAGACCAAAGTGATTATATGAGCGTTCGTTCTGAAGAAGAAGGAAGTTCTGACGACAAAGGAAACGAATTGTTTGAAATACCAGACAGTTTTGGTCCTGTGGACTCTCGACCTAAAGAAGATGATTTCATTTTGGTGCAATTTAACTTTGGCACCAGAAAGATCTTCTATGTAGCAAAAATGATCGGAGAAGGGAGCAAAAGTGAAGTGGAAGTAACTTATTTGAGAAAATTCTCAAAAATAGGAAATTCCTTCCTAGTGCCAGATGTTCTTGACATTGCAACAGTTGTTGCGACAGATATTAAACTAATTTTACCTAAACCGATTTTCTCTGGCGGAACTAAAAGGCAACAAGGATTCTACAAATTCGAATAGATTTGCGCTAGTTCCTTGATATACTTATCCATTATTGTTTTATCATTTGAAGATGTTAATTTATTTTCAGTTAACAATGAATGCTTATGCAGCTAAACGCTGATTTTAAAATTGTCTTGAGAATATCAAAGTATTTTTGAGTTGTCTAGTCACCAAAGATATCGCCACGATGCATGAGCCCTTGGCTCCTATCTTGGTTATAAGTCAAGATTGTTAAGTTAAATAAAAACGGGTATGTACGTTAACTGTAATGTAACCATAACTGATATATATTTTTAATTAATTAAAGTATGTTTTATTTCAATCAAGCATATATTACATTTAAATGTGCCCTACAGTAATTTAGTACATTGCATAATAGTATATATTCACTGTGCCCCCTCATGATCCACAGTACCCCAAGCTCAAAACCATAGTGCCTCAGAGTTGGTGTACAGTGGATAAATTTCCATTTTTCATAAATTTTTTCTTAAAAAAAATGTTTTCTTCATTAGGTGTTTTGATAATACTTCAATTTCTGAAATACCTATTGTAAGTGAAATATACGACATAGCTTTAATATTGCAAGCACTAGAAGCTGAGAGGAAAAAATTGATGCACTCTGCCCCCCTTTCCCCTACCATAGGATTCAGCTCTCGTGCCCCGTGACTGAGGCTAAAATCAATATGGATTTTGAAGTATTAATAACTATTCTGTTATCAATAACATGAAACTCAATCCCCAAAAACCAAATGTACTTTTTTGCAAGAAAGGAAGACGGAAAGATCTAAAAGCAAGCCTGGACCTGAAAATGGTCACCACAGGTTTGAAATTTAGCGGTGTATACAAAAATTTCTATCTACCCACAGACGAAGACCTACATTTTTGCACGTATGTTAACAGCGTCATCAAAACATGCTATTTTAGGCTTTTAGGCACTACCTCCTTTAAATCAAAACAGGTTTTATGTAAATCATTGATTATTTCCAAAGGTTCATATGAAATCATAACGGATTATCCTGGCTTAGATCAAATGTTCGCTTAAAGCCTACAAAAAATTCAAAATTCTTGTTGCCGCTTGACTAATAATGTTAAAACATATGACCATGTAACTGGCCCAATCAAAGATTTAGGATGGCTTAAAATTAATGACCAATTCAAATATCTATTTTTGTCATTTATAAAATTTATTATAACCACTCATTTACTACTATTTTGAAACAAGCTAAGATTTGTAAGACACTTTTATAATCTATAGTATTATTGTACATACTCGTACGTGATTTAGACTTTTTTGTTCCCAAATGTAGTTTGAATAGATTGGCCAATGGCTAGACTGAGCCATTTATATCATACTTTTTAATGTTATGTTGTGATGTTAATGGTGCAATAAAGACATATATCATTATTATTACTGCAAATCTAAACTTGACTGGGTATATACACCGACTGCTAAAATTATAGACCCATCTATTTACATTCGGATTTTTCCGACATGATGAGAGAAATTAGTTACTTTGGAGCCAAAATTGAATCATTGCACAGAATGATTTCGATAGAGGAATTCATTGAAGTACAATATTTCAAGCATCAGTCAAAAATCACAATAAAGATCAAATATATACTAAGTGACATATAAATCCGAACACCCAGTTTAAATGGTTTTATTTTAATAAAAGTTGGTGAATGTATTTATCTTACTGTAAATAACAAGTGAAAAAATGTTCAGCCTTATCAGTTGGACATTCCGGTTTTTATACTGCTTTTTTTTAATTCATTAACGCTCTAAAAATGAATATTTCAGCCGCAGTAAAGAATCAACGTTGGCGGATTTTGGTTCTTGACATCCTTTACGATCGGCTACGATGCCTAGAGTACGGAGACCTGTACGATTTCGTCAACTTAGTGAGTTTGATAGGGGCCGTATAGTGGGACCTCGGGAAGCTGGACTTTCTTTTCGGGCAACTGCAGTTAGAGTGCAAAGCAGTGTAGACACTGTGGTTAGGTGTTGTCAGGAATGGCTTCGAGAAGGCCGTACGCAAAGAGCAAGGGGCACTGGACGCCGCCGTAGAACAACATACCGTGAAGATCGCCGCCTAAGATTATTGGCTTTAAGGGACCGTTTCTCCACTACCAGGTCCATTGCAAATGAGTGGTTTGCAGAACACGGAAGACCTATTAGCATGCGAAGTGTTTACCGACGAATGAGAAGTTTTGGCTTGTTTTCATACCGGCCACACTGGGTCCTCCCTTTAACTCGAGAACACCGACGTAATCGCCTTGAGTGATGCAGACAACGGTCACTCTGGGATCAGGAATGAAACAGTATTGTCTTTAGTGACGAGTCTCGATTTTGTTTAGGCATGCACGATGGTCGTGCCAGGGTTAGAAGGCGACGTGGTGAAAGGAGGAATCCACAGTTTTTTGTTGAAAGACATGTTCATCACACTGTTGGAGTTATGGTTTGGGGTGCTATAGCTTATGGTTCCAGGTCACCTTTAATCTTCATCAGAGGTAAAATGAACGCGCATCGTTATATCCACGAAGTTCTAGAACCCCATCTTTCACCCTATCTTGACACCCTGGCAGATCCAACTTTCCAACAAGATAATTCCCGACCACATGTTGCAAGAGTCACAATAGACATAATGATGTCACATTGTTACCATGGCCACCAAGATCTCCCGACTTATCCCCAATTGAGCACGTGTGGGATATGATGGGTAGGAGATTGCTCAATTTGCAACGTCCTCCTCAGACTCTAGAAGCACTTCGAGAGGAGTTGGTGGTTGCCTGGAATGAGATACCACAGGAGGACATTGACCACCTGATCAGAAGCATGCCTAGGCGCGTTGGAGAATGCGTAGCACATCAGGGTGCATCCACACATTATTAAAGGTCAAACGGCTTTAAAGCAGTGCAATCATTTTGAATTTTTTATCATTTACTTATTATGCTTCATTAAGTACTTATACAAAATTTTATTAAAATAAAACCATTTAAACTGGGTGTTCGGATTTATATGTCATTTAGTATATTTATAAGGTTAAACAAGATGCTTTCATCCGTCCGACCAAGAAAACAAGACAGCCAACCATGAACAGCTGTTTCGTGCTTCTTAGCTACTCATCAGCTTGGCCTTTTATCTCTGGACGAACAAACGAAAGCATCGCAAAGATCCTCGGTACCGGAGGTTCGGTTTATCAGCATGCGATAGTGCCATCTATCGCGCCAGAATCAAACCATTGTGGACCGCGCTCCACTGCTATTGGTTGAAACTGTCATGGATCTCAGTTCCTGTCTAATAGCCCTGACCGCTGTCTTCCCGTCTAATAGCCGTGACAGCTGTCTTCCCGTCTAATAGCCGTGACAGCTGTGCATGGTTGGCTGTCTTGTTTTCTTGGTCGGACCGACGAAAGCGTCTTGTGTAACCTGTTCAATGGCAAGTAGATCACTTCTACATTCAGCCAGAATCATCAGCCATCTAGCGGTACGGATACTAAACGGGAAGTGAGATCCATGACAGTTCCGACTGATAGCAGCGGTGCGCGATCCACAATGGTTCCATTCATGCTATATTTATAAGTTTCAAACTTTAATTCCAATAGACATATATTTCCAAAAATGTACTAGCGTTCTACTTTTGCACGTAGAGAAATTTAAGCATAATCATCTTTTCTGCCGTTAACCAGACACCAACATTCCCAAAAACTCCTACTTCACAATGAGCGCCAAAATGTACCAGTATAACGCTGAACCATGCCAAATGGTGGCGTGTGTATCTGCCATAAAAACAATCAATTGGTCCATGCAGGAGAAGAAGAAAAAAACGATTGGCTATTTTTCAAATAAACGAAAACGCTTTAAATAGCCTGCCACGCCTTTTTTGGTTAATTAATAAAATAGTTGTCTAGTGGCGTGCAAATTTAGGCCCTAGCTCAATAAAGCGGAGAGTAGGGGGGGGTTAAGAGCGCCAGTGACTTAGGACAGATTAAGCCATAACTCCCCGAGATGTTAGTCGGAACTAGGGAGTTTTTTACAAGGGGATGGCTTCCACCAATTTGCAAAACTGCAACAAGATGCAACCAACTGGAGGTGAAAAGATGATGATTCTCTTCTGTTTTTGTTGACGCTGAGGGTCAAAATCCCATAAATGGAAAAAAATGGAAGACGTTGCACCCAAATCAAAATAACTACACTTAAGTTACACAAAAAAGGGTGCTAGTCTATGAATTGGCGCTTGGGGCCTAATGTCCCAGAGTCCGGAAAATTACGAAACGACCGCTGCACCACGACCTCAACGGAAACAGAAAAGCGAATCACCCAGAACACGTAACGTTCTAGAAGAAGGAATCTTGAGTGGCCTTGAAGAAGATATGTTTTATAGGAAACCAACTAACGGAGAAAAACTACACAGTTTTTTGCTGATCGTCAACACCATACTGAATCGCTGAGAAAGAAAGATATAATACGCGTGAAATTATACAATCAATAAACTATTGAATTTGCCAAAAGAAAATCATTGAAAAGGGTTTTGCCTAGGAAAGGGCACTCTATTGTCAATGAAGAGAAATTCACATTACGGATAAGTGATAAATAGTAAAAAAAAGGTTACGTGATTTTGGCACGTAACAAGCCTTAATTGAAGAGGCTTCAGGGTCCAAATATATCACTATTTTTCCGAAACTCGAAAAACTGATAATCAAACGTGACTTCTTAGAATTAAAGCGTATTTACCTACTTGAAGTGCCCTACTTGGGCAGTATCCAAACAAAGAACTACATCTACAAGAATCAGAGGGGATACACTATGAAAAGCAGCTATTGCTTCTAGAGAAATCCAAAGGAAGTCAAGTTAGTATATATTTCCTTAGATAAACCTCATAACTTGCAAGAACGAGCTGACCGAAATATCGAAGCGCACTTGCAAATATAGTCTACTCCTGTATGCAATTATGTTAATCGGAATTGCATGCATTTTCGTGAAAAAGTTACATTTTACACATCATATCTAACGGATTATATATCATCTGGTTGGAATGTACACTTGTATGCGGATGATCTACAAATATATAAGGCATGTAAACCAGATGATGCAAATACCCTCATATCGGAGCTTAACACA